TGGGTAGATGCCATGAAATGGTAGTATCTATCCCAGTACAACATTCCAAACATCACACAAAGTTACAATTTTGAAAAGGAAACTAAAATAAATTCCAGTTAATGAATGATAAGAAATTAAACAGTATGATTAAGTCTACATCAGCAGAAGGTGTAATTTGGACTGTTACACTACACTTCTTAAAGTGACTATTTTTAACAATGCGTTCTATGATGTTACCCAATCTACCGCTGCGTGATTAGGTATTTATTGTAGACAGATGATATGATTAGATTAAATTGACAGAGTGTAGGGTATTACGAAACGGGGATTTTCGACATTTTTACAACTCCCTCAATATACAAAAAACAAGGCAGTATAGAATGGGTATTCACCTCCGACAAGGGCACCAAGAAAAATGTGCAGCCTTCTGGAACTTTGAAAATACGAGACTAGTTATAAGATTATTAAACGACGCTCGGTGATGAAGCAGGTGGCGAGGTAGAGAGGCACTCTGTAGGTACTGAGGAAAACCGCTGAAGAGCTGAGTAATGATAGCCAACCTCCGATCGTTATCACTGTACTGACCTGCTAAATGACTGTGCTTACGATGGCAGAATAAGTACATGTATTCGCGTAATAAGTATGAGAATGAAGTTTATTTTTTCCTTTCAGAATTAGTTGTACCATCTGTTGTTGAGCCTTGGAGTTCTGTTGTCGCGAGGCGGAGCTGGTGTGCGACAGAGAGAGAGACAGAAGTACATGAATCCCTACTAGATGGCAGAACGGGTGAAAGTGTATACTAGGATTAAGAACATTTACATAATTGATAGAAATAAGAAATTATTGAGTCGTACCCCTCTGACAAACGGTACAGTAGGCCCTTGCCTTGCGTTCCGTAACGTCAAAATGACGGATGACAGCAAAAATGTTTTTGAAGTTACAAGTATATCTTGCAGTACCCACGGACGCCATGCGTCAGATAATGTATTTCAGCGTCGCGACGCCTGATTAGGGCATCGCTTCTCGGCCTTTTGGCTAAGATCAAAGTGTAGTATCTGTTCTTATCAGCTTAATATCTGATACGTCCTGCATCGCAGGACCAGAATATTAAACTGATTTTTGGAAAATGACGGAGTGCTAGGAGCTTGCTCCACCTCTGTCACGGGTTGGCCCGGTATTGCAGTACCTCCGGGATCGGCCCACCATAAACTACTCATTATTAGGTTTATATTTATCTGTCATTATCGTTAATCAACGTTACTGTACTTTACGGGGATTCTCTTTTCCGCTAATTGCATATGGGACGTATAGTAATTACGTGTACACGTAATAAAGCTCATTAACCCCGTATTCAGCGCGTGTTACAACCGTTTACCAACGGGCCGTGGAGTTTCTTGAACTATTTTTGTTTTGCGATGTTTCTCCCGCTACATGGTGAAAATTCTAACTGGTTAGTATGGTAATCAAATGTACACGTAATAAAGCCCTGTAACTCGTGATTAAACTCATAATAAGATATCATTTAGGTATTACAACAGTTTTGACGTTTCTTGGTGTTCGTTGAAATATTTTCGTTTTACGGGCGCAGGGGTTACTCGTTCTCCTATCAGCTTAATATCTGATACGTCTTGCATCGCAGCACCAGAATATTAAACATATGAAATAGTTGTTTCACTGACACAAGTGACTGAATGTTATTTTCTGAGTGCCCGACGTCGTCACTCCACTCCACATAATCAAGAGGGCGACACCTCAGCCTCCACATCAGTACATTCAAGGACAGACGAGGATATAGAAACACCGTTTACCAACGGGTTTCTTGAACTATTTTTGTTTTACGTGCGCTGCGATGTTTCTTCCGCTACATGGTGAAAATTCTAACTGGTCAGTATGGTAATCAAATGTACACGTAATAAAACCCTGTAACTCGTAATTAAACGCATTATAAGATATCAATTAGGTATTACAATAGTTTTAACGTTTCGTGCCAATAGGAACGGCCACCTAGGGAGCCGACCACCGAAGGCGTAGGCGTGGAGGACGCTCCATCGCCAGACCTGACAAAGGCAGCGGGAGTGGACCGCGCTCCTCGACAACATCCAGAGCGCTGCCGAGCTGGACAAAGCGCTCCTCCGGCTTGAGGAAGAGATGAAGAATGCCGGTCAGGTCGCGGCTCCGTCAGCCGACTGCTCGCCATCGCCCGCCGGGGCCCAACCCGACGTCCCGCAGGCGACGGCGTCACGGATACGATGCAGAGGCCGCCTCCCGCATCCAAAAACTCTACCGTGGATGCCCGCCCCGTGCCTTCCAGGAGATAACAGAGGTTGAATTCCCCTTCTGCCAGATCCCGACTGAGGACCTGCATGCGCACTTCTCCCGCAGTAACGCGGCTGGCTCACATTCCGCGGACGTGGACGACCTCGCAAACGATCCTCTTGTATAAAAAGGGGGACAAGACCGACATCACCAACTGGCGGCCGATCGCCCTAAGCAACACCAGCGCGAAGGTGTATGCATCAGTGTTGGCGGAGCGATTGGGCGCCTGGGCGGCCCGCAACCAGCGCATCAGTCCCAGTCAGAAGGGGTTCCTGCCGATGGACGGGTGTGCTGAACACAACTTCGTGTTGCAGTCGGTCGTCACGGATGCCCGCCAGAACCGCAAGCAGTGTTGCATTGCGTGGCTGGACCTGACCAATGCATTCAACTCAGTACCGCATGAGACCATCTTTACCGCCTTGCAGTGGGCCGGCCTGGACAGCGAGGCGATAGAGGTCGTTCGCAGGCTGTACGCCGGCAACACCACGACCATCCGCAGCTGTGCCGGCTACACACCGGCGGTGGACATCGGGGCAGGGGTGAAGCAGGGATGCCCGCTGAGCCCCATCATCTTCAACCTGGCCTTCGAGCCCATCCTTCGTGCCCTGTCCAACCTAAACACTGGATATCAGCTGCACCAGGAAGCGGTCCACTCACTCGCGTACGCGGACGACTTGGCACTCGTCGCCCGGACTCCCGTCGACCTGCAGCGGCTCCTCGACGTGGCCGGAGCGGTGGCCGACTGGGCGGGGCTACGGTTCAACGCCCGCAAGTGCGCCACCCTCCACATCGATGGTAAGAAGAAAGAGGCGGTCCCATCCACTTTCCGGATCCAGGGGGAAACGCCTGAGGTCTTGGCCGAGCCCGACCTCTATCAGCATCTCGGGGTCCCGACAGGGTACCACGTTGCCCCATCGGCGGAGGAGGCCATAGCGGAGATGAGGGACAACATCACGAAGGTGGACGCTTCACTCCTCGCCCCGTGGCAGAAGTTCGACGCCGTCAACACTTTCATCCTGCCCTGCCTCTCCTTCCATCTGAGAAACGGGGTGGTGAAGAAGAAGTCGCTCGCGGACCTGGACAAGCACCTCAAGGCCGTGGGGAAAAGGTGGCTGAACCTCCCGCAACGCGCGGGAGCCGAACCCCTCTACCTCAGCCACCAAATGGGAGGAGTCAACCTCCTTCCCACGAGTCTCCTCGCTGATGTGAGCCAGCTGGTCCACGGCTTCCGCCTGCTGCGGTCGGCCACGCTGCGGCCGCTCTGTGGCGCGATGCTGCGGGCCGTGGTGGGGCGGCGCGTGCGCCGTGCCGTGCAGCCATGCTACCTTGTGGACTACCTCAACGGCCGCCTGGACGGAGACTTCGCCAATGAAAGTGTCGAGGTCACCAACGTCTGGACGCGCCTTCGAACCACCACCAGGCGCATCAGGCCGAAGATGGACGTGGGGAGGGCCCTCGACGCCGACCTACAGCCGCAGCTGCAGCTCAACACCTCTGCCCTGCGAGCAAAGGATGCGGAGACCGCGTTGACACATGCCATCAGGGGCTATTTCCGACAGCGCCTGCTCAACAAACCAGATCAGGGCAAGGTCTACGCGGTGACAATTGCCTCGACGCCGCCAAACCATTTTATGCGGAGCGGAGTGGCGGTTCGTGCACCGAGCCCGCCTCGACTGTGTGCCCCTGAACGGGTCCCGGCGCTGGGGGAACGGGGTGAAGGCGTGCCGCAGGTGTGGGTATGAGAACGAGACCCTGCCGCACGTCCTGAACCACTGCAAGCCGCACTTCGCCACCATCACCCGCCGTCACAACGCGGTCCTTGGTCGGCTCGTCAAGCTGAGGGAACGGGGTGAAGACCTGCCGCAGGTGTGGGTACGAGAACGAGACCCTGCCGCACGTCTTGAACCACTGTAGGCCGCACTTCGCCACCATCACCCGCCGTCACAACGCGGTCCTTGGTCGGCTTGTCAAGGCGCTCAAGCCTTCGAGCGGGACCGCGGTCCGCGTGAACCAGACAGTGCCAGGCTTCAACGACGGTCTTCGGCCCGACCTCCTTATCTTCAATGAGGCGGAGAAGACCGCCGCGATTATCGATGTGGCTACGCC